ACGTGCCCTCCAGCAGCTCTGGGGAAGAAGCCTTCCCAGCGCGGTCCTGCTCCGTGGCTCCCGGCATGCCTTGGCTTTTGTCTGCATCATCATGCCTGTCTCCACCTCAGTCTTTACCCGGCTGTCCCCTCTGAGTGTCTCTGCGTCCCAGTCTTTTTCCTCTCTCCTGAACAGACATGCCCAGCACCTCGAGATCCTTAACTGATTTTGTCTGTTCTATTCCGAGGTTTTTGCTGCTCGCGGGTTTGGGGTGCTCAGCAGCCCGTGTTACTCGGGGTGGAGGGCCTTCCTTGATCGCTAGTCCCAACACTGTACAAGAAGGGGGGAGTCTTTGACCTCAGACAGAACTGCTGTTGAGGCCAGGCCAGCGTCAGGCTGCCCGTTCCTCTTGTGTCGATTCAGCCCTGAAAACCAAGTGGACAGAAAGCCGGCCTCAGAGGCCCTGTGTCCTTGGGCTCCAGAGTTTGCAGTGTAAACAGCTTAGCTCCCTCTGTACAAAGAGCGCTTGTGAGTGCAGCATCCCTGTAGGATGGCTAGGGCCAACATCATGGGACCTACTGGGTAGAGAGAAAGCCGAGCTCGCGGAGCTGAAGTAAACCACAGTGTGCTGAAGCTGGAAGGCACGCCCGCGTCCAGCCCCGAGTCCTGACCCGCTGGCCAGCGCCCCCCGCCACCACCCCACCCCGATCCTCTGCGGCGTCAGTCAGAACTAGGTGTACAGACGTGTGGTCTCACCCAGAAGACCAAAATAAGACCCCACCCGCTGGTGTGCCCAGGCTCGGGAACTCGACACAGACGAAGTCGGGCCCGGGAGGAGAGGGCTGGAGTCCACCCCAGGTGAAGGGCTGGGGAAGGGAGAGAAAGCCTCGCTTGTGGTCTTCACTGAGTCTTCCCGTTCCTAGAGGGACTCTGATAGAGCCCTCAGAGCGGTGGGAGAGAGAGAGGGGGGGGGGAGAGACAGCGATCACTCCCCTGGGAGGGCCTGGCACGCTGCTGCCCTTCCTCTGCTTCCCTAGCTGTCAGGGTCCTGGGTACGCGTACATGTCTGATGTGTTGCTAAGGCTGGGATTTGCACCCCAGTCGCCCACGTGGGATCTGGCTTCCTCTGCACCGCGCTTCGCTGCCGAGCTGGGAGCTGGCCCTTATTGTTACTACTGCTCTTATTTCATCTTGCCCGAGGACAGGTGCGCTCGTCACACCTTGGTGTCTCCATCTCTCCCCTCCAGGGTTTGGGGCACACGCGTACACGTCCCTGGTGTGTTCCTCAAACTGCCAAGTCTGGGACTTGAACCACAGGCAGCCATGTGGGATTCAGCTGCCTGAACCACCGTGCCACTGGCTGACCCCATTTTATTTGTTTATATGTTATTTTAAAATTAAGTTCTTTCATCAACACATGCGCACGACAGAGAAAGATAGTCCCGCCCCTCACCCCCACCCCGGTCCTACACCACCGTCCGCCCGGCACCTCAGCCCGCCCCAGATCATGGCACACACAAGCCCAGCGTGTTCAGGGAGACCTCTGGAACCTTCCCACGGGCCAGCCTCCCAGGGCATCGCGTGGCCACGTGCACCAGACCCCTTCTCTGTACACTTACATCGCTCGAGATCGTTCACGGATCGAAGCTGGCCCCGAGTTGGCTCCGCGAGGAGGTTGTTGCCTCTTTTCTTTGCTGTACTCCCCACGCCCAGAACAGCGGGCACTCCGTGGACGTTTGTTCTTGAGTGTACGCTTCTGCCGACTGCGTCGAGCTAAATATTCCCATTCCAGATCATTGCCCTGGGGTGACTTCTCCAAGTGAGGTGTTGGGGCTTGACAAGGTGAAGTAAGTGTTCACCCGAAAGAGTGAACGCACGAGCCGAGAACAGCCCGAAAAGGAAGCGGTTGTGAGGTTGAACATGCTTTACCACCAACGAAAGTAATAATAAAGAAAAAAATAACACGTGACGCCGACACAAGCTAGATAAATGGAGAATAAAGACGTCCTGGACAGACTCCGGTGGGTGCGGAAGGCAGCAGCAAGATGCTGTCAGCCCCACCCAGTGGCGGGGGTCCCGCGTGCCAACCATGCTGTCCCAGTCCTGGATCCGGTGGCTTAGAGAGCATGCCGGAGGGGACCCGGAGGTGCTGGCCTCCTTCCAGCTGACCATAGCTGGAGTCTC